GGTTGGACACACCTCCTCGCACCAATTCAAGGTCGACGTAACGGGACTCCAGTAGCCAGCCTTGGTAGGCGGATATGGAAAGAAGGGAAGGGCAGGCCACTCAGGCATAACGGGCAGAGACCGACTCCGGCTGTCCACGGATGATGGTCAATCTCTGTTGTGACGGGGTAATTATCAGGAGGAGCTATAGAAATGAGGGCATGGCAGATACAAAGAGGGGAAGAAAAAAAGAAAAGTGACTGTACAAAGGGAGAGGCGTCGACTGGCGTTCGTGGAGTTACTTTGTACCTAAACTAACTCGACATCCGTTCGGTTCATGCAGACCCGTGACGTCGATTGATTACGAGTAGGTCAAGCATCGCAGGCTGTCAATCCACATTTACAGGAAACCGATTGGCTAGCCTGTGACTCCGCCAACTGCCGAATCATTTCTTGTGCTAGGTACTAGTACTTAGTAGGACTTGGTTACTGAGTGCGGGTGTAATTTTGACTTTGCCCTAACTATGGATGCATCCGGCCTACAATACAACTTTCGTATTGAAGATCCCTGGATGAGACATCGAACGAAGGGTATTTTCAGTCAAGAGTTATTCCCCCAAAATTGCTGCGGGAGAGTTTAAGGCTGGGTTCGTCTAACGGGAAATCATCTCCCAATTGGCAGAATTCCATACATATACCTCGGTACATCCATGGATGGGTACAGTTCCAGGTGGAGTCGCAGGTCTTACTGCACCCAAAATACTACATGGACACCAACTAAAACGTCTCGTGGCCGGGGATCGTAACCCGTTTGGCATAAAAGTTAGGTAAGCCGATGTACTGTAACTCTGCCGTACTGCACACCTTCCCCGAACCAAACTGAGTCCTGTATTCGAGTACCGGAAATACACCGCATGTGGCCGCCTGAGGCTGTATCCGGCCAATCATAGTGCATTCGAAACGGAACTCTGATGACTTCACCAACCGCGATGTTTGAGAGGAAAAATACGACCGGCAATTCCGTTTTTCTGGAACCTCACATCGTACCTGATCTGAGTACTAGTAGTACATGTCAGATCTGACCTTTCCAATTCGTCTTCACTTTTTCTGTCTCGCTTGAGATGTGGTCTCTGCCGCCCCTTTCGTGACTGTGACCGCATTCCGGTCTCTCGCAAGCTTCTCATCTACGAAAAAGCGGTGTCGGTTGCGGATGAATTGAATCTGCTGTGATACTCACTGTCTAATAATCAACATTTCGAGCACATCTAAACTTCGTTCCGTGAACTTTCCAGGCTGGGCCTGTGAATAACCTTGCGATGTCGAACAGCGCTGCATATGCAGTGCCGCAGGTGAAAAAGACCTCTGCCACTACGAGTATGTTCCTCTATTTGACAATCTTGTTTCACTGGTTTTCTTTCTTTGGCCCGTTAGAGAAAACTACAATATTTTTTCGTTAGACCAAACAAAGTGACTCCTATCTAATTTTCTGGCAGCATCAAAAACTACTTTTCATTTCGCCGCCGGCCTTTGTTCCGGCCTCAGTTCCGCCATCCTCCTCCAGCCAGCAGACCTCCTCAAGACCCGAGTCCAGCAGTCTCAGAACGCCACGCTTCTACCGACCATAAAGTCCATTATCTCTTCTCCGAATGGAATTCGCGGCTTATGGCGCGGAACCCTTCCCTCCGCACTCCGGACAGGTTTCGGCTCAGCGCTCTATTTCACAAGTCTCAATGCCCTACGACAAGGTTTAGCGCATACCGGGGTTCCAGTCGCCCTCTCCAATGCTGGCGCAAACGGTAAAGGTGCGGCGTCTTCGTCTGCTCTTCCGAAGCTGTCGAACTCGGCCAACCTTGCCACGGGTGCAGCCGCTCGTGTTGCGGCGGGATTTGTGATGATGCCCGTCACCGTGCTGAAAGTACGGTATGAGTCGAGCTATTACGCATATGGCAGTCTGTACAGCGCAGGGCGCGATATCCTCCGCACAGAAGGTGTGCGAGGCCTTTTTGCTGGGTTTGGGGCAACCGCTGCCCGTGATGCCCCGTACGCAGGGCTCTATGTTCTTTTCTATGAGCAGTTGAAGCGGCGCTTCGCATCGCTAGCCGACTCGGGAACCGGTGACCAATCGCTGAAGTCATCGTCTTCATCAATTAACTTTGTCTCTGGAGCATTGGCGGCCGGCCTTGCTACCGCGATTACTAATCCGTTTGATGCGGTCAAGACTCGACTGCAACTTATGCCAAACAAGTACGGAAACATGATGCGAGCGGTGAAGATGATGATTCAAGAAGATGGCGTGCGGAGCTTGTTGGGCGGCTTAGGGTTGCGTATCACCAGAAAAGCGCTAAGTTCAGCACTCGCATGGACAGTGTATGAGGAGCTGATTCTTCGTGCGGAGAATCACTGGGCATCAAGAGACTAAGTGCTAGATGTCTGTATAACAAATAACCTATTTCTTTCCTTTGCTCGAGCATATATTTGGGAGTTTTGGTTGGGTGATAAAGGAGTTTGGGTATACATCGTGGCAATCATCATTGTATCATATATAGGTGCGATCATATATCATCAGAATCCCAACTCATGACGAAAAAATGAACATCAACACGAAACATTTCAGGTCCAACAAGTCATCAAAGTTTACATAAAAGTCAATAGACAGCTCGGACACCAAATCCTAAGCCATGAAAAGCAGACGTATAGAGGTATCACTTGTGTTTCGCAAAACAATTCAATCGGCTGATCAAGTAAAAATCCATGCCCGCCGACTGGGGCTCTTCTTCCGCACAAGGTACATCTTGTCCTTCTTCCTGTCATTGACCTTCAACTCTGTCAGTGTGTTGGAGGTCTGGGTAATGAGCTTGCCTTCGCGAAGTCGGCGCGTGTGGTCAAAGAGCTCTTCCTGGAAGTCTTCCGAGATCCATTGTTTGATAATAATATAGTTGCTATCGCGCTGTTGACACCTGTCAGTTAGCATTGCCTACTTCGGAGATATCAAGCCTTCGAGGGCACTCACGTCATCCCAGTCCCAGGGTAAGTGATAGGCCATCAGAGTATCAGGCAGAAGATGTCTGCGGTGGACCTAGACACTGATGTTAGTTTGGCTAGACACGGAAATTTTTAGTAGGTAGGTAGCATACCTTGATCCAAGTCGCCCGGCGGTGTTCTTCCTTCTCTTCCTTTTCACTTTCGTCGTCGTCGTCCTTCTTCTCCTTTCCCTTCTTTTTCTTCTCCTTCTCCTTCTCCTTTTCCTTCTCCTTCTCCTTCTCCTTCTCCTTTTTCTTCTCTTTCTCTTCCCCCTTACCTTCTTCTTTCTTCCCCTCCTCCTTCTTTTTCTTTTTGGTGATTATCTCTTCGATTTCTTCCTCTGTGTAACCGAATTCGATCCTCAGTCGTGTCCTAAATTCTTCGTCACGTCTCCGCTTCGCTTCTCTTTCGGCATTGATCCGCCGCTCCTCATTCAATTTCCATTCCTCGATGGCCGCTGCCTTCATCGCAGCTTCTTTACGTTCTTTCTCCTGTTTTACAAGCAGGGCTCTCGCCTCCTCATCTCGGATCTCTTTTTTGATCCGCTCGCGCTCTTCCTCTTCGTCAATCTTGCGCTGGAGTTCCTTGAGCTTTTCTTGACGGATCTGCTCTTTAAGTCGTTCCTGCGCCTCCTCCGCGTCGATCCTGCGTTGAAGATCCTTGAGCTTCTCCTCCCGCAGCTTTGATTTGACATCTTCGTCCTCCCTAGCTTTGCGTTGGGCGTCCTCAAACTGACGCAGCTTGTAACGATGTTCTGCTTTGCGCTGCTCCTCCTCTTCTTCGATTTTGTGTCGGAGCTCCTTGAGCTTCTCTTCGCGCAGTCTTGATTTGACGCCGTCTTCCTCCCTAGCATGGCGCTGGGCTTCTTCAAATTGATGCAGCTTCCAGCGGCGTTCCGCTTGTCGCTGTTCCTCCTCCATGCGCTGGCTCTTCTCATACCTCTCAAGCCTCCTCAGTCGCTCGCTAATCTCATCCTCGTACCAATCTTCCTCCTGCTTGAGGATACGAACATCATGAGAATCACGAGCGTCACGGGCTTCAAGACGATTGCGAGCCAATTCCCGTTCTAAGCGCTCTATTTCCTGCTGCTGTCTCAGCAGTTCCAGATCTTGTCGATGGTCGTTCTTTTCCAGCAGCCGCTGATCGATCACCAGCTCATAATCCCGCTCATGTTGCCGCGGCGACGCCTCTCGTGGGGTACTGGCAGTGCTGGCACGAGGACGTCGATGATGAGCACGTAGGAGGGTCTCGTCTTCTGACTCGTAGGGATCAATGTAAGTCTCCTGGTGCTGGTCCTTACGGGCCTTGTTGGCACTTCTGTTGGAGCCCTGATTCCGCGACTCGTTTTTGATATCGACGATGACGGCCGGGGGTGGCGGGGGGCGCTCGTGAGACCGTCGTCGCCGGGCGCCTGTGGAAGCAGAGCGGTGCAGATGCACGTCCTGCACGACGGGACTCAGGTAAGTGGTGCTGCCGTGATCGGGGCTGATGCGATGACGGGAGAAGGAACGCCTCCTAAAGGACGTTCGGCGGCGGCCGTTTTCCATGGAATAGTCGGACTCTGAGTAGTCGGACTCGGAATCGGTCCATGGGACGATGTGGTGTTGTTGATGACGAGGCATCTTGGCGTGAAGACTATGTTATTTGGTTCTTTGATTTGTGTCACGCCTTCCTTTTTTTTTTTAGAATTTTTTTTTGTTCTCTTCTGGGATCAAATGGGCCTAGTTTTCTATAGTGTTTCCAATGATGACAGTTGGGATGTGGGCTGTCGAAGCGGGGCGGTTTTGTGGTTCAAAAGAGGAGACACAAGAAGTGACGTAGGGGGAAGAAGCACTTGGCAAACACAACTTTCCAAGAAACAGCTGTGGTGGGATTAAGAAACCCTAAGAAGGTGGCAGGGGTCAAAGGCAAAGCACAAGGAGGGGTAACCTCTGCAAGCGAAAGAAGGGCAAAAAGAAAGAAAAGTGAAAGATAAGCAAACGAAGAAGAGAAGCGAAGAGAAATAAGACCGAGCCTCAGTGTCAGAAGGGAAGGAAAAAGGACCAGCCCCCGTGCCTCGTAAACGCGGGCGGTCCAGCTGAAAAGTGGGGGACAAAAGACAAGAAAAGGCGTTTATTATTCGACTGTCGTGATCGCTGGGCAGGAATCACCCATTGGACTGGCCGTTTGGGTTTTGGGGGTCAGGCTGAGCGATGATCCGCATCGGGCGGCCACTTGGTGACTTTATCTCTCTCTCTCTCTCTCTCTCTCTGTACGGAGTAGAAGGGTTGTAGATATAACACATGCCCATGGATGATGGGTATCTATTGATAGTACACTCGACGACATGAATTTCTTCGAATCAACCTTTCCTAGCACCTATACTACTACTAGCAGTACTCCTACGGACTCTAGCTCCAGCGGTACCCAATGAATGCCTCCCCGCGCGCCTCGACAGCCCTAATTTAGTCCAAGTTCGCCCGAGCGCAACCTAACAAGCACTTCTGCAACCCAGCGGTTATGTGAAACATGTCCTTGACATAGGTTGTCTTATCAAGACCCCCGGTTCATCCTTACTACCTACTATACATAGATCTTGCCACTATAGACTATAGTAGATAAGTCCCTGGCCTCAATCAAAAGCGAGTGGTTACGGCGACCGCCAACCAAGGAAAACAAGGCGGTTAATCCCGCGGAACCAGAACTTTCTTTGATCATCCATCGATCGATCTTCTGATAGATTGGTGGCACGCGCGTGACGGATAGATGTGGACGTTCTTTTTACCTCCCAGTGAATTTTTGGTGAGAATTAAACCGATCAAATATGACGATCATTTGCATTTGCCGCCCGATACACATGACGTCGGTGGGTGTCATGTCGATGAAGGAAGAGTCAGTGACCATCATCAGCCTTGTGGCGGCGGGTGGGGAACTTTTCAGCATTTAGTGCGAATTAGTACTAGGGAGGGGTTTGGGTAGGTTATCGGGGAGTACTTCAAAGTAAGGACTCATGGGATATCTGTTACTTCCCTCTGGATTAGCATGTGCTCGAAGGTTTGTACCTGCTTAGGGTGTAGTATATGGGCTGATGTATTCCCCGGGGACTCGAGCTTTCATCATTGGGCTGGCCGCGTCTAATTGCTGCAATGCCACGCAAACTCTATCCCAATTTCCGAGACCCCTGCCTCCCTAAAGAAGTAAGCACGTGTGTTAGTATAGTAAATCACTATATTATAGACCAGTAGCTCAGTCCCTCCGGGGCTCCGTAGTACATGCCTTCTTTGTCGTTTTTCCCATCTCCCTACACTAACAGGACCGGCATACAACTATCTTAACTCCCATACACAGCGGTGAAGACAACCAAATAGAGTTTGCAGTGTATTTATTTTAATACACGAACAGCTACGATATCTCAATCAGTTCCATACCCAACATCCTTTGCTTCCTCGTCATCCTAGCACTAAAGGCGTACTAAGTTCATAGCAATTACCTGCTACTAACCACCACTACCACAATGGCCACCCCCCTCGGCGACCCAGTCAACCAACCCCCAGCCCAAACAGCCCACCCCCAAACAACTCCGAGGCTGCACAATCGACCTCATCCATCTATCCCCCTCCCACACGGAGTCCCTCTAGTCCCTCGTCGGCGGCACTTCCGACCCCACCAAAGCATCAACATGGACCTACCTCCCTGAAGGACCCTATCCAGAGACCAACTTCGACAAATTCTACACCTCAGTAACTACCAAATGCAGCTCCACCGACCCACTCTTTTACGCCATCGTTGACAAAAGCCAAAAGGTTCTGGGCTGGATTACCTTAATGAGCATCGTGCCTGAGCAACTAAGGCTCGAGATCGGGTGGGTGCTGTTCTCGCCTGCACTGCAACGCACGACGGGTGCGACGGAGGCGTCGTATCTACTGCTGAAGTATGCGTTCGAGGAGCTAGGGTATCGGCGCGTGGAGTGGAAGTGCAATGCGCTGAATGAGGGGTCGAAGAGGGCAGCGGAGCGGCTTGGGTTTATGTTTGAGGGGGTGTTTAGGCAGCATATGGTGGTTAAGGGGAGGAATCGGGATACGGCTTGGTTTTCGATGTTGAAGGAGGAGTGGGATTCTAGAGGGGTTAAGGAGGCGTTGGAGGGTTGGCTTGCGGAGGATAATTTTGATGAGTCTGGGGCGCAGAAGAGGGGTTTGGAGGGTATTAGGGAGGAGATTCTAGGGAGGAATAGTAAGAATTAATTGTTGGATAAGTGTATAGATGCTGCTTATGCACTACTGCGCAGGTTGACCTCGTAGACAGGCGGGTATAGGAATCATAGGATGCTCTTTCAATAGAGCTAAATGGCCACCTCGGTTATTGGACGATCTTTCGAATCACCAAGGACTTAGCGAATTCAGGGCATAGTCTATGATTGGCTTCGAGACCATTTTCAATTCAGACTCATTAGGGCGGAGGTCGCGATGGTATTCATTAAGTGGGAGGCTGAGAGCATCAGAACGGCAATCAAGCAGCATGCCTGCCGCAGTGGCGTGCTATAGATACCTAGTAATGGCAGCTTAAAAGGCAATAGGAATTCCTTTAATCCGGTAGAAACTCTTCAACTTTCTACTTACCAGAACTCTGAAAAGTTCTCCCATGACTTCAGGGGGGTATTAGCTCTGAGCTCCCTGAAGGGATGGCCGGTACTCGGACGGTAGCCAAAGCATGTTCTCAGAGTTCCAAGTCACCCATGCACTATTGGGACTGGCACCATATACTTGGAGTCGTGTTACGTCAGGATTAGGCTTAGACTTTCCTGTGTCTAGGACTAAAGATAGATGGAGAGTACCCGGTCAGGTTCAATGTTGGAGTTGGTAATGTCGAATGGCTTTATATAGGCAATGTCTCTATGGCCTTCGAGTGTCTGGAGGCCCTGCCCAGCGCCGACATCCTAGATTGGACCATACCTGCTGTTCTGCTTGTTTCAGCGAACATTTTCCATAAGTATGGAGTTGAAATGAATCAGCTCAGTGAGGAACACCGGCACCAATACATGGCGAGTCACATGCTGCCTCCCCGTTGCTCTATTTGCTCGAAGCACCTTCCTGGATGTTACGAGAGCCAGTATCAATCTAGTCTGGAGGGCTTTTACTATCCTGTTCAATGCCTTGGAGTTTGCGATCAGGACTGTTTTGCCATAGGGGTATATGGTGCAGGGATTTCAGATGAGATTCCCTCATTTTTTATCACCTGAATGGGGTTGTAATGAGGCAAAGTGTTTTAGTTTTATGCTGAGTTTCATGTTCTTTGTTCTTCATTATAGCACAGAACGACACGCTGTTGTATTCCTGAAATCTCTATTTCCTCATGAAATCCTCGCAAGTGGCGCCAAACGCGCAACAGATGTGGCATATTCTATATTTCTCGATTCCATCACCACATACAACGCCCCGATTATCCCGAGAAAGGCTCATGGTGCAGGCATCACATGTTTGTGTAGCTTTATTAGATCCCACCCCAAGCTGGTACCGGCCCTGTTGTCCCTGTCCATCATCTCTTAGCTGCATGCCGTAACCAGTCAAAAGGTCTCGCATCTGGGTATGACCCGTTAATTGTATCCACCACGTTAGACTGCGACCAAAGCGATCCTGGGGTTCATGGTTGAGCGGATGGGTCTCGAGAATCTGCTGTACGATATTACAATGACCATGTTGAACGGCCGCGAACAAAGGCGTGAGGCCAAATCGATCTGGGCGATGAATGTCGCCGCCACGTGATCTGAGTTCTTCGAAAAAGCCCGTATGACCTTCGACGACGGCATAGAAAAGTGCGGTCCTGCCTATTCGGTCCACATTGTCCCATCCACATCCAGGAGCCTGCAACAGTCGCGTAAATGCAGCCTTATTGCCACGGCTGGCCGCCCAAGAAAGAGCATTACGCCCGTAGCGGCCGTCTGTTCCTAGGAGAGATACGCCTCCCTGGATCAAAACCTCTATCATAGCTTCGTTACTCTCCAGCGCAGCTTGACACAAAAGCGGCATGTGGAGTATTCCCTGCTCAGTGTTGCTATTTGAATATCTGAGCAGCAGCTCCACCATCTCTGAGTTACCGTGGTAGATAGCTATCCCTGCTGGAGTTTGTCCCAATGTATTCCTCATTAACAGTAAGTCCGGCTTGCTTTTCAGGAGCACGTCCACAACTCCTGGCATGTCGAAGGTTTCGCTCTTCCTCCAGAAGACGGGTGGGTTACTACCGAGTGCGACTGCATAACCCAGAGGCGTCTCCTGTTCCTTGTCAAGAGTAACAGGCTTGGCTTTATGGTCTAGGAGTAGCTCCACCATTCTTGGATTTCCCATGAATACAGCTTCAAACAGTGCTGTGTAGTGGTTGGAATTCCGGGCCTCAGTATTAGCCCCGGCCTCTAGCAACTGCTCTATAATATCGATACGGTCATGAGACGCAGCTAGGATCAGTGGAGTGTAGCCGCTCGATTCAATTCGCGCCTCCAGGTCACTTCCATCTGCAATCAGACGCTGCATGATGATCCTCCACGCCGTGGTTCCTTGCCCTTCAGGTGCGGCAGTGACCAAAATAGCTAGTGGGGTTCGGCCTTCAGAGTTCCTGACATTGACTTTGGCATTGTACTCCAGGAGCAAATCTACCACCGCGGCTTGACACGTCGCAACGGCTAGACACAACGGCGTGTTCATGTTCATATCTTGCGCCTCGACATTGGCCCCCCTCTCCAGTAAAAGCTTGACGACCTCTACATGCCCATTTAAGGCGGCCAAATGAATCGGTGACCGTTCCTTTTCAGTCGTATCTCTTTCGTTAACGTCCTCGCCGTTCTCCAACAACATCTGAACCACAGCTGTATGGCCCCCTTCTGCGGCACATATCAGTGGCGTGCATCCAGCCACCAAGGCCAAGAGCTGCGCTCGAGCTGGCTCCCCCGAAGGCACAAGGGAAGAAAAGGCTCTTTGGAAGTGCATCGCCGCAAGGGTTTGCTGCATAAAGCTACTTCTATCACTCATACTGTTGATCAGGGCTCGTTCTTCTAGGAGATTTTGCACAATGTCTGCGTTGCCAAATAGAGAGGCGATCTTCAGAGCAATACGTCCGTCTTTATCATCACAGTCGGTCTGTAGCCGACCGTTCCTGCTTCCAAATACTCTGATCTTTCTCTCCTCGCCGAATTGTGGGGCCTGAGTCTGTTCTTGAGACGACATATTGATCTAGGGTTTTGAAAATGCGAAGTATGGTTGAAAGTTTGTTAATTGAATGATACTGGACGTGATGATTATAGTACAGCACCTTATTGATCGCCCCCCAGTCCGTCTATATAGATAGACCTAAAAGCAAGGGGGCTTTGTAAAAATTAGGCGACTAGACCCCGTTGCCTGTTTGTAAATATGCTGAAAGATGGTATACATTTTACCTGAGAACTATTCAAATTTGTGATAGGTTCATGGGTTTCATTGTCTACTAAGACAGGCAGCAGTTTCTGCCTGAGAATGACGGTGGCCACGACAATTCCTGAGATTCCGCCCAGAAATTCGGTATGCTGCTTTCGGGATCCTAGCTAGGCTGCGGCAGCATCCAATTTGTAGGTTGCATGCAATCGCTTTCCGAACCATTCTAGCCTGATCCAGTTAATTGTACGCGCATGGTGGTTCTAGTTGACTGACTTGTTAAACCTTCTCTGTTTTCCAGGTCTTAATAGTAGTAAACTCAATCAGGCACGGCTTTAGCATTGAAATGATATTGGGCTACGTTAGCGGCTCGGGTTGGCCCGGAGCTAGCCCGGGCAAAAGGCCCACAGTGCTTGACTTTAATGCTATCCATACAATCTACCCTTCACAGCGAGTAGGCTATTCTGGCCTGTCCCCATTTTGACGCAGGTATGCTAACTTAGACACACTTCAAGAAAAAGTAGCAACGGCATCTTTAATTACCTATACAATCCTACTCGCGCTAACTTATGTATTATATATGACTTAATCCCACTCCCAGCTAGTCTAGAAAGCTCCTTCTGCGGCAGTATCGGAATATACTAATGTCTTACAACCGAGATGGAGAATTTCTATATTTCTCCAATCTATGTATATTTTTGTCTGATTCTAATCTTCGATAGGCTAGGAACCAAGTATCTCCAACCACTTTCCTTTCTTCTTCTTATCAAGGCTATCAAAAGGTGTCCATTCTATCGAGAAATATCAAAGTTAGCAATCAACTACCTAGAGTGGCATGGGCTCCCCGCTGGAGCCGCCCCGAACCCACCGATTTTCGGGTGCAGATATGGAGGGCAGAACCTGCTCTAGGTACTCCGTATTACATTGTAAGACTAAAACCAATCTAAATTTAGGGAACCTATGTAGATTACCTGATTAAATAGGGTTTCCTGGAGTAAGTTTAATTGATTCAGTATTCATCTATGGTTTCTAAATATATAAACTAGTTACTAAAATAATTATTTATTATTGCACGAGCGGGTGCGCAAGTCTGTTCTCAAAAGGTCACTATTATCAGGTCATAAGGTCTGATATACCTGGATCGCACCAGCCCTGTCAGCCACGGCAACAGGGACCTCGATTTAGTCTGCTGTATGTAAGCTGATCGCTTCCACTCCATGTACTCTGGTCTTTCCCGGTGGTATGCTAGATTAGTCCACATGGCCGGAATTGGAATCCGACGCAATTCTGTCTATATCATAATTTGACTATCGTAGAGTCTACCATGGCCACTAAGGGCCTCCTGACACCTCTCCTGATTGGAATCAATGAAGCCTTTCGAAAAGGTCCCTGGAACTGCATCCCAGGCCTTCCGTACAGCCAGCTCGAAGGAGGTCATAAGAGCGCTGGTGATCTTCAGGATCTTGATCTTGAATCCAGTTCTTCATCCGGCTCCAAGGTAGCCTCGATTGGATGTCTCCGGTACAGGTATTATAAACATTTTCGTAGGTACCTGAAGTCAATAGTGTCAACGGCAGGGCAGGGGCAGTTACCGATAGCGGGATCCAACATCATTCATACTTCCGAGTAATTAACAGACCACGCCTTTGTCAAACAACGCGCATGGAGATCGAATTTCCCACATGCTGTTTCCAAGTGAGATGGCCCAAGAACCTTTGCAATGATCATGATGAGGTTTAGAGGGTTGGAGGTGCTGTTCGAAAGAGTCTTTTTGAGCAGCAAAAGACTGATACAAAACTTTATGGTAGTACCCGGCTCGAGAAACTAGAAACGAGCAACACCTTACAAAGCGAGATCTGATTTGTCTCCAGTACATTCTGTTTAGAGGTCACACCTGCGTAATCATCGTACCTGAAGACGAGAAACACAAGAGCGACGGAGACATTGATCTGTGAGGATATTATTAACATTGGTTTCTACCTAGAGGCACCAGCGGATAATCAAATATTAAGGACATGCGCCGAGTCTGAGCTCCCAAGGTAAACATGACTAGTGACCGGAGACACTCCCTAGGCATCAGAGTAGCCGATCGCTGTCTCAGCGACTGGTCCAGCCAGTAGGTATCACTGCCAAAGGTTCTGTACTTTATCCGGACACCATTGTATATCCAAGCGCTGGGGTGTTTTCTGCACAGTAACCGGTTTGCACAAGTAACAGCATAACTCGCTGCCCTCATTCTTCATCTTGAACAACTCCTTCTAGGTCCTGTTACAGAGCGCTTCGTCGGTTCTCCCTTCTGTTTCTCAAAACATCGAACTCAGGGAAGCCAAATTTCCCAAAGCCAGAGTAGATCCACAACAAACCCCAACATTACTTCAGGACCAGATGCGATTCAGCTCAAGCCTTACCACCAGACTTCACAAACCGCTCATAATGCTCCATACTGTTCTTATGTGTCATCTCCAATGAACTCAACTTCTTCTCCAACCCCGAAACATCCGACTTGAGTTCCGCCTTTTCGGCCACTAAGCGTTTATCAACCGTTGACATTGGGACACCCACGAACCTATAGCAAGTCAAAGTCAGCACTAGGTCGGTCTTTGATGCCGAATCTAAGCGAAACATATATCTTGAAATATGGAAGCCCACTCACATTTTCCCTACACCTTCGTAGACAGGTGTGTCCTTAGGCAATGAGCTCATCTCATTGGACGTCAAGTCTAGCAGTCTGATAGCCTTCTGTTTTGTGGTCACTTGGGCCTTGGCGATCCCGATCTGTTGTTGGGAGGTGACGATGCGGTTTTCGAGTTCTTGGAGGAGCTAGGCATCGTATTTGGCCATTAGCTAGGTATTTATTGATGTAGTAGGTGTTTGAAAAGTTACCTTTTGCAGAGCTTCATTGGGAAGAGACATTTTGACACGGTAGAGGGGAGTGTTAGATATGAGGGGTGCGGTAAGGGGATGTAAATCGCGGTCGCGGGATGTTCAAGAAAGGGAGAGATTGTGGATATTTGCGATTGATATGTATTCGCAATCGGTGGCAAATTGTGAGCTAGAAGTTCGATCGACTCAGGGAAGGCTTATAATCTTTGTTATTGTACTTCGTATAGAGGCAAGACGGGGGCTCGGGCATAAACTTATCGGCGGCCAAAGCTCAGTTGAACTCCGCCGTCACGCCGAGCGGGGCGTTTTCCAGATACGGTGCTGCTTAGGGCTTAGGGCTTTCACGTCATAGATTGGATATACTCCATACTGTCCGCGGAGAGCTTGACTTGCATTTTTCATTACTTTGGGTTGGTCGGGTGGATATCATTCGAAGAAATGCTGGACGGTGCGATCAAAATGGGATTGTGTGCGATATACAATCTCCAGCGCATGCGAAGATTGACACCCAGGACTTGGTTCATTTTCTCAGCTCATTTCCAACAAAGTGGACTGTCAATTTTTTAATGATGTAGAAGTACTAGGATCAGTAATTGCGGCTCGGCTTTGCTCAGTACATCATAGAAGCTCGCATCTTGTTATACTCTGCCTGTGTAATTGGCTTATACTTAGCGGGCTGGTCCTCGCTCATACACGATGGAATACATTCAATTACAGATGATGGGTCTGGAGACATAAAGTAGGGAATCGAGAACCGCTCACGGGTCATCCGATTTGGACCCTCGTAGCGATCGGCAAGCGGTGGCATTCTGACCCTGTGGTTTGTAGATCTGAGTCGGTCTGTACGGGTCAGACCATTCATCGTCGCATCGTGCCAGTGGAATAGGACACTTACCATTACTCCACATTTGCAGAAGGTCACCAACATTTACAACAATGGCATTCTTTAGAGGAGGTGCAGAAACAAATGTGCCTGGCCGAGAAATATCTTCAACCTCCAGACCTCCGCAATCGTCTTGGAACAGCATAGTTAAGGAACTCCAGTCCGTATGCGCTGGACAACGGGCTGTCCGCTCTTTCTCAAGATCCTCGGCTGGTACGGGCAAGTAATGTAGTAGTCGTAGTTGATTACCATGGCCCGAATGTTTTTTGACTAGGTAAGAATCGTCCTCTAGATTCAATCCAATGGCTAGAGCACGTAAAAGATCTTCGCCGACTGCCCAGCACTCCCAATAGAACTTGATCATAAAAGCCCTGAAGCCGACGAGGGGTTCATCGGGGATCCATTGATTAGGTTGGTCAGTGTTTTGATCACTCCCGATATCGTATACTTCCTGTGGCACTGTAAGATACGATCCTTGATTTTATCGTTTTTATCTCAATACATGACTTTGGTCCTTATACGAGGAAAGCCACAACATACTTTGACGTCTGGGATCTCTCGCAACTTTCTTTTTGCCTCTTCATCATTTCTGGTGGGCATTGTCTGAGAGACTTTCTCCAGTCCAGGCCATGAGTAACCCCGATGCACTGCCCAGCCCTCAGGATGAGGAGCTTTCATTTTCTCCTCTTCGGGAAGATTGAAAAGGCGTTTCATCCAATCAAATGCTTCATTCAGGACGGACTCGGACAGCGAGTGGTTGATGATGTAGACAAAGCCAACGGTTTGGAAGGCTTTGACGAGTTCTTGCGCCGTTCTTAGCCGCGAAGCTTGGTCCTGAGTATTCTTCCAGGACGAGAAGTCAACGATAGGAATTGCCATTGAGGCTGAACCATCTTCTGGCGGCATGCTAGCGGGCGACGGGTTATTAAAGCTTATCTAACAATTAAACGCTGATGTCCAGTAAATCACAACCTAAAAGAAGTTATTCGTCCCGTTTCGTTAACTTGGTGGGCGATATATGCATTTTCCATAGATGTGGTGGAGGCGGTGGTAGAGTTGAGCTGTGATGACATTCCCCTCAGTCACATGCCACCACTGGTTCTTCCTGTTCAATAGTTTCTTCATTCCTCAGTAACATACTGACCTTAAGCCTGAAAACTAAGTATTCAAAAAAAAGCCAAGCGCTAATGATGGTTTAGAAAGTGTAGTCATGTCAAATTGTTGAATTCAAGATTTCCTATAAGCAATCGCTCAGAAAGCTCTTAATTCGTAAGGTAGAGTATCCAATTTGAACTGAAAGTTCATGAATAATTCCGTCAAAGTGAGTTCAGGACTTGCTCACAAGCAAGTTACCTGGGCACAGTATGATCTTGATCGGACATTGCGCAGGTAATTGTGAAAGTGTACTGAATGCGTCTATCTAGTTCCCACATCCGAAACAATTTTAGATGGATAAGCGATGAACTATATTGGAGCAAAATCACGTTAGTGCACATCGTAATCGACTAGCAAAATCACTGGGTTTCAATACCGTTGCCATCGTCGAATGTCCTGAACATTTTGGCATGCCGTGAGGCCGAGGTCGTCTGGTTCTTTCCGGGGGGATCATGTTGCTTAGTTGACAGGGATTTGCAGGCCAACTTCACTCTGTACTAACTTTCCCAGCAAGGTTTATCTCCTAGCAGTCCTAGGCCCTAGTGTTGTGATAGAACTTTTTTTTTTAAAAAAAAAATAAATAGCACTGGCTCGGTTGCCTTGCCCGTCGCCTCACTCCCCTCGGTCCTGCGTACGTCTCATCGGTTCCAACAATTCCTGTGGCCTCATAAAATATGAACGGTCAAACTGAGAGCCTATACTTTTCAGAAGTATGGCGTTTCCTCATGTGTAGTGAGCAAATACCTACTATGACGAGTCTGCAGCGCTGGGCTTGAACGCTGTGCTGATTTTGAAGGATCTTCCTGGCTTTGGAGAAGATTTCTGGTCCGTAGAGTGTGGATGCCTGACCGACGTACAAGTCGGTATTTCTCTCATGTTGATTTGTAAAAGCCTTAATAGGGCACTTGTACTTAGTTATATTGAACGTTGCGGCTTGTCAAGCACTTCCACCATCTAGGGGTTGAGAAAAGGTAGTAGAATCAAATAATTCAACACTGAACTAGCTTCTCTCCCTCTATATACTACCTATTCATCACCCATAAGTAATTGTCTAAGTGCCATTACGACCGGCAGCATACGCAATGGTTTTATTCATTTTAGTACGGAGCAGTGGCTATCATGTTGTTGACTGATCAGACAGGAGTTCCGACGGAGACCGGATTGTATGCTCGACTAAGACACGGGCTTCGAAAGTGGTCCAGTGTGCCGAGTCGGGCGTAATGTTTGGATCAGATTTCATGGCGTCATTAAAACCACCTATCCGGGAAGCCCATGGAGATGTATAAAGTTGAATTGGTAATCGAGAGTTTCTGTTAAGAAGTACCACTTAGTACCTTGATGGTTCAACAATTACGTTACGTGCTATTGTAATACAGTCGCTTTCCAAGGTGAAGAAAGTCATATTCAAGAAGTACCTAGCGTGGTAAACTCAGTAGAAGGAAGGGTGGAAAGCTTGCATTGTCTGAGAGTTCGGTTTTCGGAAAGTAATTAGGCTAATGATATGTACGAAAATGCTTTTGCCCATTACGTTTTCTTTTTTTTTAATTTCCCCCTTCCATATATGAGAATCGGGAAGAAACAGTGGTCAAGCTGCACGGGCTTCAGCGGAGCATGTTTTATCGAGAAATGCACCTTGATGTCAAAGGTTTATATTAATAGCCAAGCAGGTGGTTGGACAATGGGTGGACACGCGGTTGCTGTGGCAGGGATCTCGGTGGAGATTGCGCCTAACTACCAGAACAAGTACAGCCCGATGCAGAATACATCATCCACCCCGACTCCGGTCACCGGTACCGTGGCCGACCGTTCTCAAAGATATCTGGAGTTGGAATTTAGCCACTGAGTGTGAGTTGCTTTTCATACATACCCGTCAATTTGGACGTTGCTTTGTTTCAAGTCTTCCAACCACCCACTAACACCACGGTTGCCGCTTTCAGTAGTTTGTTGACCGCATGGTATTTTTACTGTCGCATACCACACAACACTCAATCACACCAAGAATCCTGCTCGAAATCTAAGACGAACGCCGATCTCAAGAGTTACATACAATTCAGTGGGCGGACTCTAGCCCTAGCCGCTAGAATGAAGGTATTTGGGTGGATCTCGGCCGCATTTTTCTCCTCGACTGTGTTATCGATAGAGACGTTGCCATTTTCTTCTCCGCAATCCGCAGAAGCAAACAAGAGGGCATATGAAGTCTTACGTATATTAAAGCGGGCTGACAACTGCCCGGCTGGGTATGACCCATGCTCCAACATGGGTAGGTCCGACGTCTGCTGCAGACAAGGTTCTGTCTGCTCGCGCGACGCCGCCGACAATATTGCCTGCTGTCCGACTGGAGCGAAATGTACAGGCTCACTTACCGGAGACTCCACCTCTGCCTCGACCAGCTTCAGATTTCCGGGAACCGCAACTGCTTCTATGACCACCACGGGACCCAATGCTGCTACTATTACTGGGTCGACGATGCCAGGCGCTTATCCATTTATCTATGTCCCGACGACGTTCCCTAACGCCGATGTATGCTCCTCATATTACTCATTGTGTCAAAGTGAGTATACTGGTTGTCTCTCGAGTCTAGGAGGAGGCTATGCAGTCACAGTGGCAGCTGAGGGTGGAGGTGTAACCCGAGCTGGCGGAGGGGCAGCTGGGGCAGTCTCTACCTGTTCCAGCTTGAGTCTGGACGCCTGTCATGGCCTCAATCTGGGTTACTGCGACACATATGCTACTGGAGCCGGAGACATGAACAGGGCACCCCCGGGACGGACCTCTAGTTTGGAAGACCTCGTCTTTGGCATGATTATTGGCGTGGCCGGTATGTTTATTTGATCAGCGTTGATGCTCTTACATTTTTTGATGGTGGATATGCGATATGAAAATTTTTTTTCTTTGTCCTTTTTCTTTTACCTATATGCTACAGCAGATTGATCTCCTGGAAACTAAACGAACGGGACGTCTTTCGCGCATATACTGCTGGAAAGCTTATGGCTGCACTGTACCTGATTTGAGGTCGTATGCTTTTCTTTCGGAAAGGATGATTGAATGATGTTATGTTCGAAGGCTATGCTAAGGTGTAAATCTACTGTTCTTTGGCGTCTATGTATGTACATATCTAGCTAGGATTAGGGGACACAAGATCCCCACATGACTGTCTGAACCATATAAGGATATATTGATGACCGGGAATGAATTAACTTGAGACTTTGTACCAGGCAATGAGACACGCACAAAGAGGACAGAATATTGACAGATACCAAAGGCATCACACCGCTTCATTGTCATAAATAGTATACCCAATACCTTAAAATACACCCATCGTACATTTGCTAGCGCTAATGACATGCATGAGTAACTAGTAGACTAGAAAAAAAAGACTAGTCTGGACCATAGAATCGGATAATCTTCCACCGGTGTGTGTTGTCCCTGATTCATCCGCTTTGCTGGCAAGGCACTAAAGCGTGACGAGACAACACACAGGCACAGATTTATGGAGTAGGAGTAGTTTAGCCTTCGCATTGGCGACGACAGACTCCGCGTGGGGCCGCTTGAATACTAGATACCTCAGGTGTGATCTTATAGATCGATATGTCGAATGGAAGCGGGGAATTCTCGCACACCGACTCGAGTTACTCAACGCGCAATTTAGTTCAGGTTCCATCTTTGTTCCGCTGGTATTAATGGGGAATTAGTATGAAACTGGTGTCAGGGACGGAAGGCAAAAATGGCCAGCGAGGGTGATGATTGATTGAGTCATGTCTCTGCCGTTTCTCCCATACAGTGAGGGGCACAGTGTCCAATGCATTGCGACGATAAGATCAAGGACAAGGAAAAAGCTGTTACTCACCCAGCCCCCTCTTTTTCAATAAAGGAAAAATTAGAAATTCCTATCAATGAGTAAACTTTGATGTCAGTACCTCATTGGAGCCTTTTTTTTCTTGTCTACAGGTAGCGATTGGCTGTTGCTGTTGTCTTGTTGCAGAAAATCCTGGTGGTTGGGTACTATACGGGAGGCTGGGAGACAGGGCTTCAAAGCAAAGCTGACGGTCACTTCCCGTCTCTTGGTCACCACGAGGATTACCCCCTCATCCACCCCCTCATTCTTTTTTCTTCAGAATTCTTCTGCCACTGTTTGCTTGTCATGCTTGCTTTGGCATTCTTTCTGACGTGGTTACGAAGTTGAAGATTGTTGTCTTTCGTTTGCAAGCTCTTATCGATACCGACCCATACATTGTCCGGGGTGACCGGTCTAGACAGTTTGAATAATATTATCGACATCGCTTGTGGTTGATCGGGCTTGGAGAGGGACAGAGCGAGTTTGGCATTCTTCTCGTGATCCCTGCACATATCTCCGCCCACCATGTACACTTCTCGCATATTACATTCAGCGATTTCCATACTGGTTCTATTGGCGCAAGTTCAGCGCTCTGCTGCTTCCCCTCTGGATTTGGATGAGGCCGGCCTTGAGAAGCGCTGCGCGAATTCCTGTGGCTATTATGGCCAACTCTGCTGCAGCTCTGATCAGACGTGTAGCACCGATAGCAATGGCCAGGCAGTCTGTGCAGATTCCTCCGGTGGCAGCTGGCAGTACTTCACCACAACATTCGTCACCACGGAAACCGATGTGTCGACAATTACCTCTACATGGAGCAGCTACGTGGGACAGACTACGACTGCCGGAGGTGGTTCAGGGAGTTGCAAGGCCGAGCTAGGTGAGACCATTTGCGGCAACACCTGCTGTGGCGCGGCGTACGTCTGTTCCAACAACCAATGTGTGATGGGAAGTTCGTCAATTTGGGCCACCGCTACCGCTACACCTCCAGTGCGAGGAACAAGTGCATCTACCATCACTGCGACTGCATCGGCGACAACTACACAGGGCTTTGTTGCTCCTGTTGGCACCGATGGAGCCACACTTATCGGTGAAAAGGCGCCAGACAATGGAGGACTAAGTGGTGGAGCAATCGCAGGTATCGTCATCGGAACAATTGCTGGCGTCTTTCTTCTCCTGCTTCTTTGCGCTTGCCTGTGTTGTCGCGGAGCTCTGGAGGCTTTGTTTGCTTGCCTGGGTCTTGGTGGTAGAAGAAGAAGAAAGGAGACCACATATGTGGAAGACCGGTATTCCCATCATGCGCATGGTGGTAGGCCTGAAGGACGTACCTGGTTCGGTTCGCGTCCGTCAGCTCCAGCCCCCCAGAGTAGCGAAAAGAAGAAATGGGGCGGATTGGCAACTCTTGGGATCATGCTGGGTGCGCTTGCTCTATGTCTGGGACTGAAGAGGCGCAGAGACCATGAGGATGAGAAGAGCGACTATACTTACCCGAGCTCATACTACTACTCTGATTATTACACCAGCGCAAGTATGTGCCCTCTTCTTTTAGCATTAATAGATTTATAGCCCTTACTGACTACTCTATAGGTAGTGCAAGCTCGGATAGGCGAACGAGGCGGACAAGGGACACTAGACAATCCAGGCGATCTCGCACGCGCTCACGACGATCATGATTAACGAAGTGATACAACGAAGATCTATCAACGAGTCGCATAAGACCAAGAACCTATTCATGACTTTCTGTTTTCAATTTCCCCACGTTTTCTTTTTCTTTTATTGGTTCTCCGTCGAGCATAGAATGGCGCTGGTTTGGCATTTTGTGTGTTGTTTGTATCACCATGTTTGTTGCCTTCCTTGCGTCAAATCCCGTACACTTTTTCTCCGTTTTCCCTTTTATTTTCTATTTCTTCCTTCTTCTTAAAGTTTATATGTATGATGACGAGCTATGTATCCATGCCCTAATGACCTATCCGATTTTTTTTTTCTTTTCATTTCCCCTCTTGTTTTCGGCTATATTCTGAATGGGTCAATGAAGGAACAGACGGAACGATGTAAATACGAAATAGTGCAATGATAATCAGGTCATCTTGCCAGAAATACTGAGTAACGAAAAGTCTTGATTGGGGTCGTTTGGATAGGTCAATTGCATGTAGCTGCAGGGCTCGGAGTATATTGAGCTCAGACCCAAAGATATGAATGCAGGCCGAGGGCTTTACTCCGTAGAGAGGAGGGCTGAGAGGGTGAACAGGATCAGGCACTTTCTGCACCGTAATGACGGGTACCGAGTCCCTCTGCTCGAAACTACCGCAATAATAGTAGTAACCTGCATCTGCCGGAAGAACTCGTGCGACATTCCGTGTAACGTGCAAGGCGGCGAGTCCGCAGAGCGGCACCTTAGTAGTATTGTATGCTATGGAGACACTTCATTTAATCCTTTTCAATTGAAGTTAGAGTAAAACCGAAAAGCATGGCCGACAAAAGCGTGTGTGAGTTGGAACGGTCTTATTATACTATCAATATCAAGCCTCCTTCAAAGGGTACTTGACTGATGAGGCTTGAGTGACTTGAGACGATTTAAACGGGCCGCGCACGGATTTAAAGCATCAAGTCAATGCTCGGCCGGAACTTGCGTTCTCCCCGCCTCCCGTAGTCCGGAACTTCCTCGACTTCTCCATCCATCGGTCACACTTCACTCTCTAACACACCAAATCGCGCACTTCCATATTCAACCCTCAAGCAAATAGCCACGACAAAAAAAACTGTCATTCATGAATTTAGTTTCGGGTGCAATTCCTTGACAATAGAAACCTTTCCCTCGACGTCTCATTCCTTGTATCTGTCCCCGGTCGCTCAGAGCAGCCACTACTGTCCTCCTGAGGATTACGAGTCCCCGATCCTTCACCAGCCCGTCATGCTTCAGACGCAGACTCAGCACGTTTTTTCTCATCAGCATCAATACCCCGCTGACCCCTCCTGGCTGCAACATCAACAGCAGCAGCAGCAGCAGCACCATCAAGCCCAACACCACCCACACCAGGCCCAACAACAGCATTCTTCCTTGGTGGCCCAACAGCATGCCCAAGTGCAGGCTGCTGCGGCAGCCGCCGCCGCAGCTCAGCAACAACACTATAATCGCATCGCTATGGCCGGTAATCCTGCCGCTGGAAACCCCACACAGGGTGCGGGTGCTGGAGGATTGAGCGGGGATGGCGCTCTCCCAGGCGCAGTATCGGTGATGGATGGTGGGATCAGTGATGAGAACCGCAAGGTTTTCATCTGGGTTGCTGAGCTTTTGGATCCAAACCGCAGAGAAGCTGCTCTTATGGAACTAAGTAAGAAGCGAGAGCAGGTTCCTGAGTTGGCGCTTGTCATTTGGCATTCGTTTGGTATGAGCTATTTCCTATATGTGGCGACTTGTCGGCTTCATGGACGCTAACAATCCTGTTCTTGTAGGCGTCATGACTGCTTTGCTTCAGGAGATCATTTCTGTATACCCCTTGTTGAACCCCTCTCAGTTAACCGCTGCGGCTTCAAATCGAGTCTGCAACGCACTGGCTCTATTGCAATGTGTCGCCTCCCACAATGAGACCCGCACACTATTTCTGAATGGTGCGTAGCAGCTCATGCTTGTCTACAATGCTTATTGACTAACGCAAACACTCCTCCAGCTCACATCCCCCTTTTTCTTTATCCCTTCCTGAATACGACCTCTAAATCTCGCCCGTTCGAGTACCTTCGCCTCACCTCTCTTGGTGTGATCGGAGCTTTGGTCAAGAATGACTCCTCTGATGTCATTAACTTCCTCCTCACAACCGAGATTATCCCCCTCTGCCTCCGTATCATGGAAACCGGTTCGGAGTTGAGCAAAACAGTTGCTATCTTTATTGTGCAAAAAATCCTGCTTGATGATATTGGCCTTGCGTATATATGTGCGACATACGAGAGATTCTATGCTGTGGGAACGGTTCTAAGCAACATGGTCACCCAGCTCGTGGAGCAGCAGACCGTAAGGCTTCTGAAGCACGTTGTGCGCTGCTTCCTTCGGTAAGTTCAGGCCACATATGATCAACGGCTAAACAGTACCTTGCATTTGTGAACAGTGCCTAACTATCTGTAGCCTGAGTGATAACAGCAGAGCGCGTGAGGCCTTGCGCCAATGCCTTCCCGAGCCTTTGCGAGACGCCACTTTCTCCTCCGTCCTCCGCGATGATGCAGCCACGAAACGTTGTCTCGCACAGCTTCTTATCAATCTTTCCGATAATGTCTCTGATGGCGCTCCGGGTGTTGCTATGTAAAAAGTCGAAAAAGCATTGCTTCCGTTTTGAGTTACTTGGTATATTTGACAACCTTACGATATGCATGGGACGGTCTAAGGCGAATCTGGGTCATAAGGCGCAATGTGTGAAAATGGCAAAATAACGGTATAACCAAGAAGAAAGAAAAAAGATTTGGAGAGGAGCACCGGGTTGGGGATTTATGAGACCACTATGTAACAAAGTCTGTCCCTTTTTTTTTTTTCTTTTCTTTTTTTTTTCGCATGGGTCTGCGATTTTTCCTCTTTTATCCCATTTCGGTCATAATGGTATAGGCTTGTACGGTGGCGTGGATATGGATGGCGCTGTCTTTTCTGTGCATTCTGCTTGTCCTTGACGATCCCTTTCCTCATTTTCCATCTGAATGAGATAGACCCTCTTTGAGCGAGATACCAGAATCTAGGTTTTGATTCATGCGTTGGGATTGTATGTACGAGTGGAAGACGTTCTGGTCTGCAAATTCTGAGGCACGGTTTGTCTTTATTCTTACTGTCATTAATTAGGTAGAATGTTGCCTTGCATATACTTGGTCTATATATTTTTTAATAAGAATTTGAGTATTGGGGATTATCCTCGACTCCTTACGTGGTAGAGATCTAAAAGAGCACTTTATCGGAGAGCTCGCTAACACTGGAAATCACCTGACAGGCGGAGGGAGGTCTCGACGCGCCCCGTGAGCTCATCTCCATCTCGCAGACACGCCCGCCCTGGCAAATCCCGCCCTGTGTTCCGCCACTGCGTCTCAATAATTTGCTTCGATTGAAATTGAGCCCCTGATAATATTTCTCTCGCGTATACACATTTGACCTCTTGCCTCCAAGGAAACAAACACCGCATAACAGCAAAACCGTGATTTTTGAAATTCGGTCCTGCGCTGCGGCGCCGTTCATGCGCTCGAACCGCCGACATGGTATCGCGAAAGCGCACCCGTTCCGAGGTCGACGCTGCTCCGGAGCAGCCACCTGAGGAGTCTGGTTTGCTGCACCGACTGCGGAATTGCTGGGAGTTCGCAAATCTTATGCAGTATATTGCGATCTTTGGCAAACCTATGAAGATTGATGAGGATTTTGGCATTGAAGTATGTCATCTTGTCGAACTAGCATCTATAAAATAGCCTCTTCCGCCCTTCTTTAACTTGCTTGTCGCGTGTAGTAGAGGCTAACCTCTTCTTTTCGCCCCATTTCACAGGATTTAGAGAAAGAATGCTTAAAACCTGGTTCTTCCGAAAAACTTCTGGAGATTGGACTCTGCCTTCTGAAATGGATCTCGTCGCATCGAGGTCTCACGTACGTGATCAGGCTTTGAGCCCCTTGAACTTGCACGAAGTACTAACACTGGCGGTTACCCTTAGATTCGACAATTTTGATGAATACACGCGACGTCAGTACAATGCCAAAGCACCTCATCTCCCCAACCCGTTCGGGCACGATGAGGTTCCCAATAAGTTTTCCGAGTTCGACGTCTTCTTGAAGCTTCGCGTCCTTCATCAGCTGACTATCTGGACGTTTTGGAACCCGGATCGCATCCGCGATAAGATGCCAGAGCAAAAGGAGGCGGACCAGACGCAATGGGTCAGTACTGCTCGGAATGGTCTCGTGCTTGACGCTTATTGCTGACTCCACGTTAGCGCATTGAAGAGTTAGGTTACGATCGTGAAGGGAGATATTATTATATCCTAGATGACAATCGGCTCTACTGTCGTACTGATCCTCCACCCCCTCCTCCGAAACCCACCAAGTCGAAGGCGAAGAGAAAGAGTGCACGCGCTGTGAGAGCGTCAAAACGCAGAAAAGTCTCAGAAGCCGCTGCGGAGGAGGAGTCTTCGGGCGAGGAAAATAATAACATCAATGGAGATGTCGCCGGGGATCCTTACGAGGGGATGAAATGGGAGTGCATTGCAATCACGTTAGAAGACTACCGCCAGTTTCTGGATTCGATTCGGAAAACGAAGGACCCGGACGAGAAGATCTTGAGGGATCGCATTGAAGATCAAGTATTACCTGTGATCGAGAAGGAAGAGGAGGTACAGGAGCGACAGAAGGCGAAACGTGAAAAGGAGCTTTTGAACCTGCAGCTGCTCGCCGGTGCGAAACGGTCAAGCCGGCTTGCTGGAAAGGCTGAGAAGGAACGACAAGATCGAGAAGCTGCTGAAGCGGCACGGAAACGAGAAGAAGAGCTAGCTGCCGCCCTTAAGGAAGAAGAGAGAATCAAGAAGATGGAAACAGAAAGACGGTCGCGCATCATGACTCGTGAGCAACGTATCAGAGATCGGGAACGAAAGCGTATCCTACATGAAAGTGAGCTAGAGCGGATAGCGGAGGAACAGAAGAAGCTCGAACGGGGCGAAAGCAGGATCTCTGAAAGACAGTTGAAGGCCGAATTGGAAAGACAGAAAAAGAATCTGGAAGATCTTTCCCAGGAAGATGAATGGATATTCGATTGTTCTGGGTGCGGTATGCATGGAGAGAACTTGGTATGTCCTATCGGCGCCGTCCCATGTGCTACGACATCTTTACTAACCCTGCATAGGATGACGGCGAGCATAGCGTTGCATGTGAGAAGTGCAATGTATGGCAGCATAGCAAGTGTCTTGGTATCTCGAAACAAGAGGCCGAGCGTGACGATTTCCATCTTGTCTGTAAAGACTGTAAACGGCGAGAAGAGGAGGCAAAGAGGCCGAAAATCCCGCCATTGAAGTTTCGTGTGGGCTCCTCACCGTCTTCTGCGGTTGTTGAAGCTGATCAGGAAGGCAAAGGCGCGGAGACTGCACACACCTCCGTGCCATCGACCCTACCTCCAAACGGGTCACCGTCTAAACTGCCTATAATGCAACCATTTCTGCCTCCTCACAACACAGCCCAACCTGTTCCTATGTCACCCGAGCGCCGCCCGCAGTCTGCCCACACCACGTCGCTCGGCAGTCCTCGAGCTCTCTTTTCTCCATCAAAGGGTGCCAATGGTTATTCACCCTCTAGGGAAGCACCTCCGAAGCTACCATCGATCCAGCAAGCAACACACCTGCCTCCCAACGGCCGAGTTTCTTTTAGCGGTGGCTCTTTCCATTCTTTCCATTCACAACGGCCGTCATCCTCCCATTCCGCTCAAAGCCCGACATTTCCCTCGCCTATCCAGAACCGTCCCTCGATGTCACCTACCCAAGGCAATCGTGATGTTGGACCCCTTGCCGGGTTTCCACCTGCACCACCATCAGACAACTCAGGACCATGGACACCTTACAGGCAACACCAGGCCCCCCGCCGTGGCAGTGGTCACTATGCTTCCTTCTCTTCGATCCCCGGTGGACACCCGTCCTTGGCAGCTACGCCCAATGCCAGCCACTCGTCGCCCCCACAAAGCTCACATGGCGGCGTTGCGCTATCAGGGATCAGTCCAACCAAGCAATCACCTCGCCCCGTTACTTCTGGGAGTATGACAGGTGCGCCAATCTTGCCTCCTATACAGAAACTCGAGCCGAGTCCCAAGTTGATGGGACGCAGTTCGCCTGATGCTCCCATTCCGCCGCCAGTAAAGTGTATGACTCCTGAGCAAGAGGAGCGCAGACAGCGCGAAAACGCGTTGATGCTTCATGCTCAGTCACACGCTCCCAATGGTCAACATTCCGCGATGTCGTCTCCATCGCTTAACCGGATACCACCCCTGGGACCATCTGCGCTGTCGCAAAGACATGAATCATCGTTTCAATCCCAATCTGGCCCCAAAACGGAGGAGCAATAGAGAACCGGTTTTGGCCGTTATGCGTAAATGCTTTCCTCTTGCAATATCCCTTAGTTCTTGGGGGGGCCCGATCGCTAGGGATTTTTGGCCCTTCATGGAGCATTTAAATCTGGAGATAATATCTCTAGGCTAACCGAGGAAAGCCCAGTCCCATCAGTTGACGTCTAATTTGGGTTATTGGATCTACTGGATTTCGATCGACAAGGTTACACGGTCAGCGCAGGAGAATTTGTGTGATGGCGAATGTCGTGAGACCGGAGAATATACCCCCAGCAAATGAGGTCGGCATCAGCAGGGTACAAAATACCTCTGGAGTTATATGTCCATATCCTGCAGGACATTGCCCGCAACATGACACAGTAGGGATGACAACCAATTCCTCAGAATCGCATTATCTATTACCCTGAACTAGTTTTCAGGCTTCGTTGGCTGCCGTCTGCACGTCATGTGCGGACGGACTAATTATTTTACTTTTCCCTTACAGAGATATTAATACTTGCATAACGGATCGGGAACGAGACCGTACTCTTTTGATGAAAACTACAGAAACACAAACCGGGGTGGGTGGTTGGGCGTTATGCCATACATGGAGGGAGGCTATTCGCAGCATATGAGTTATTTCCTAAGGGGCGGGTGACATGGGTGATCTCAACAGGGGTCAAGGAAAAGTAATTTGCATGATATTAGACACCTACTATAGAATAGTAGAATACTATGAAATTGTACACTAAATCCTTTCTCCCCCCTTCGTAGGCTAATCTTAGAAGAATAATAACAATAGCAAGGACCCGGGGGAGGGAACGAGGGTAGGAGTCATTGACCTACTATGTCAACGGGCGGAAGGAATTAACCGAAGCATCAATCACATTGTGATAGCCCACGACCTTATTTAGCGTCGGCATATGCAGCCATCTAATACGCCAGTGGCATACCACCTAGCCCGCTATCATATAAACAACCTTGCATCAGGCAGAGATCCAGATCAAAATTCTAATCCCGACACCCGCATCGAGATTACGAACCACGGTGGCCAAAGTACGTTGTGTACAAGCACATGTACATCCCTATCTTGTATGCTATATGTAGTAGCGTACTCCGTCCTGTTGTATCTACAAAACAAGCACTCAAAACAAGCACCCAGTCCAAAGAGATAAATCTATCGAGATCCTAGAGAACAAACGCCATTGAATCAAACACTCAATCTAAGCCTCCTCCCCATAACACGAAAACGAGAACGAAAACGAGCCATAAGGCCCTCGAAGGCTCCGACAATAAACATAGAACAGAGCGTTAAGACTTAGTAGTAGCGCCTGCGGAGTAGTAGGTCAAAAACAGCATAAGAAAAAAAAGAGAAAAGAAAAAGAAAAAAAGAGACTACCTCCCACCATAAACAATTACCTACTGTGCCATAAACTGAAATGTAGACGATTCAAATCCCGAAAATCCAAAGGCTAATCAACTATCCTCAAAAATTGATGCAGTTTTGGAAACATATCACGAGTCCAGAGTCAGTGACTCCAGTCAACTCCACTAGCGGCTCGCAAGATAACACCCTTATACTTCAAAAATGGATATTACAAATTGTAGGAGGGGGAAAATAACTATCTTGCCTTAGGGCTGCCCAATGGTATGATGCTATGAAGAGAGTATGCAATTTGACTGGCGGGATGAGAGGGGACATGAATGTTTGGAACTGACCTACTAGTAGTGTAAATGGAATTTTATGCAAAATTTGAATTGAATTTTTATTTCAATCAATCGTTGTTGGGGTTCTTGGCTGCTGGGGGGTTTATTTCTGGTACGGACTGGATACCTCTGTAGTATGTACCCCTAGGGTACTCCAGACTCCGAGGAGGTATCTACATCTCAGGGCTCAGGGCTCAAGTGCCCGAATAGGGAGATGTGGGGCTTCCGGGTCACGCCCCGTCTAATGGCTTAACCGAAATGGGAAAGCCGGACGCAGGGAGCATCGCTGATTGGATCAGATTAACTCAAGCGCTGATTCAGCGCTTTGAACTCTAACAACACAACTTGAACGATTTATCGGAGGCACCGGACTGATCTTCTTCATGGGTTTGGTTTTTGAAGACCAGCCCTTTTTGGCTCACGGATATGTTCGGGGAGTTTTGTCTTGGAGATCTAGATATTTGGGTTTCCTTCTCTTCGAAGACTGGGGACGTGAGCCAATGGAGGGGGTACCGTAATTGGAGGAGGACGTAAGGTGTGTCTCGATCGTGATCGGAACAACGGGCGTTGTTCCTGATCGTGGATCACGATCCTTCGGGAGTTTGGTGCCTAATTGCTGTTGGTTGCGTCGGCTTCGGGAGAGGGAAAGGGATTACAAATCTCCTTCTAGCATGATCCGAGTCTTTTTTCCCCGTATTTATCACAAACTTTAATGAAGGGTTCTGAATCAGCGCTATTAGATACCTTAACTTAAGGAAGGTAACTTTGTGTACATCTTGTAGCTTAATGGACTGTGTTCTTACTTGGCGTGAATTGCCTTTTTTTTTTGGTTACTCCATATAGTTGGAGGAGGCTTATGTAGAACGTGCTCAGCAAGGGGCGCGGGGGGTAAGGCGCAAAAAACAAGATCAAGACACCGAACGCTAAGAAAATGCACCTCTGCTGGGCCACCCTTGGAAAGACTATTTTAGATCCAGTTGTCTCGGACGGCTCCGGAGAACTCCGTATGGGCACAGTCATTGCCATTGCCAAGCTACGGTCCACATGTATAGGGATTAGTTTTATAGTATGAGGATGTTTCGAAGGTTATCAGCCACCAGCAACGTAAAGGTCTGCGGCAGATGTGTGTTCCTCACCTGCCGGCGCTGGCGTTAGAGCTCCGGTTCGATTCTGATCAACATCATGCCAGGTTCAATTTTATGGAGGATGTGGAGTTGACCGTAATGGAAGTGGAGAAACATGAGAGATTTCTTATACTACGGTTACAAGACAACCGGGGAAGTTAATATCAGATAACTCAATGAGGCTAGTCAAAGGCTTGGGAAGATCACGTTGAGAGTGAGTGACGTTGGCATAGTACTCCGTACTATCGGGCGAAAGGTTGTTTTTGATTTTGTTCTAAGCCCTAAGGGCATCCTACAAGTAAATACATGACACCTCCAGCTCAGAACCGCCCCAAGGACGCTTGAATCGGGGAACCGGACCTCCGTTTGCCGCTCCTTGAGTACTCCGTACTCTCGACCAACGACTTATGATGGGTGGGCTGTCACTTTCTCAGCCCACCGTTAACGGGGGGCACAGATGCTGTCAGTGCTTAATTTAATTTTAATGTTCCCGCGATTATCGGTGTCATAACCCGCCGCTTGGTCCACTTTTCTTAGCTTGGGATTTCATTGGATTAAATTGGCAATTTAAAGTATGGAACCCGATGTGGCCCGGCCACTCAGGGGCGGTGCTGCCATCAGGGTCTGGAATTTCCGGGTGGGTAGGCATCATGGTACGGAGTCCAAGCTGTCTTCCCTTTTTTTTCTTTTTTTTTTCTAGGGCGTTTCCCGTTTGCTGCTCAAATGGGTAATTATTAGCTATGACACTGTATGTTGGAGTAATATGTTGATCGCTCTATAGATAGGGATGAGTTTTTGTACTATGACTGACCCCGGCATATTAGCATTCACTATAAAGAAATAGTTGAAACCTAGAGGCTCAACGCCATGCATCTTAAACAGCTTCATCGATAAGCCAATTCCACACTCAGAGGATTCTTCTTGAGACCTCTATACCTTGCCACTGAGCACGGCGGACTCCGTAGGGAAACTCGTGAGCGAAGTGCACACCACTGAGCGGAACTGGGTTGATGTCTTCCGCAATAGCCGCGGAGCTTAGACTGGGGCTAATTAGTCCAGATGAGGATGACATCCCATCTCCTCAGGCTGCAAATGATAGCGTCAGCTACTCTTAACTGAGTGGATAGCGGATATGCGTTCGATGTAACCAGCTAGCGGCATGGACCGCTCACCACATGGGTCAGATAGGGATACGGGCTTAGTAGGAGGAAGCAACTCTTCCCCAAACTTGGCTATATTACGTGAATTAGCTTGGCCTGTCTTATCTTCCGCCCCTGTCCAGGTGCTGATCTCAACTAGACCCATATTTGATCTTGTGTACACTGCCTGGGATAGCAGTCCCTTGTACTAGTAAGTACACAGCAAAGATTGGAATAGTCGCTATTCCGCGAGAAGGCCTGCTCTTGAGAAGGTATCGAACTATGACGGATGGGCTCCAGTTGTATACCCGAGTTCGCCGAACCTTTGAACATCATGGACCAAAGTGGTCGGTAAGGTATTTTGCCCAGGACTTACTCTATACATACTTCGTAGTAACTATGAAGTGGATCCTCAATCGAATAGCCAATTGGTAAACGCCGTACGCGACATACAGACCAATAGCAAAACGCGGCAGAAACAGACAAGCGCTCGCCATTCAGAGAGTGTATCGGTCGTGCCATATCATGCATCTAGCCCAATAAGAGACCCTCGGTGGAGTATACAAGGGCAGGTGATCGATATGGACGACAGGGATGTTACTTGATATGGTTTAAGCAACTCACCTAAATCGAGGTTACTTTAGGGTACCTCGTTCTGGAGACTCTGGTTCAGCGGTGGATCGTAATCGGAATACCAGTGGGGTATGAGATCCACCTGTTCCAGTGTTCGACTTGGTGCGAATCCCTGCGTCAGTGCTCACGGCCATTGGCAAGGTCTAGACTGGGCGTCCTTGATTAGGATGTGAACATATTTGGTATACTGGCCTAGGCGTGTCTGTATCGTGTCAGGTGATAGTCGTCCACCTCAACCCGGACACTCTCGTGCCTATACAGATTGGTACATACTTCTGGCGAACGCTCCCCTCTGTGCGACATGGCGTCCGAGGAATCGAGGTCCGTGGGGCGACATATACTCGGTGCATATATTTGTGCTACTTGGTCTAATCAAACCAACGGTGCCCTTCACTTCTGTCGAGCTTAGCGTTCTGTTACTGCGCTTGACTTGGTAACGTGGCTACCAGGTTTCCGCACTCTATAACTAACGGTCCAAAAACCAGTGGGAGATGCCCCACGCGGGGCATCCTTATTCGAACCAGTGACCTCATGCTCGAGTCAAACTGTTGGACAGTGCCGTGCGGGACCAACAAATCACTACTGAAGCTGGTGGGCGGGGATGATCCTACGAGCAAAACCTGCCTCCCGTGCGACATTTCGAGTTTAGTTGATGATGGGCGCCCGACCTTCTGCTCAAGAGTGGTACTGCATAACAGTTCATTTACTGAGTAGCTAATATCCTCTGCCTCGGTATCCAATCCCTTCACGTTTACTGCACCTGTCCTGCTGTGTAAGTTCACCATTAGCCAATCGCCTCGATGACTCCGGTTGGGTTATTACTGGTCGCACCTACCAGTTGATTAGGTACTATACGTCCTACCATCAAGTGTTAGTGAACTGTTAGCAGACATCATTCGAAATAGCCTCCAAGCCATGAAGTTTGTCGCCGAGTTTAGCGCGGTGAACACCGGATGCGTGTAGTTTGCCCCATTGTGGACTTCTTTCGACCGACAATCCTTATGTTTTGCACCACGTTTCGCGTCCAGCCTCTAGAAAGGTTGACAGTATAGTCACATCGCTGTGTTGGCCGGTGACACAGCACCTATAGGTATGCTTCTATGATCGTGGATGGGTCTTGACAGCTGCATGACGGCCCATCAGAAGCTGCTCACCAATGATATGAACAGGTGTTACCTACTGATAGCAATTGAATCACCTACTAGTAGTAGGGGACCTAGGGAGGCAACATTCGCTCCCAATCTGGACCCCGCCAGTTCCCTTACAAGTCCAAAGAAAAAAAAAACAAAGTATTAAGAAGCCATTGATTTGTAGCTGGAAGAAGGTTTGGAGGCCTCCATCTCACTTTTCATCAGATGGAAAGAGACACAATACGCCACTGGCTTGCTTGGACACATCTAGTTGCTCTGCGGTTACTTTGACTTTCTGCCGCCATCCCCACTTGCATTTGGAATTTCCATGGTTGGGACGGAAAGGTTCGTGTCCGAAGATAGTAAGAGGCAGTAGTCTGTGCCGTCAAGATCGGCCCTACGATTCGCTTGATTGCGGCGCACCACCATGGCTGGTTCTTTCAACTCTTCATGTTCTCCCCCTCTCGCGTGCTCCATGCTCTTTCATGTTGGCTATTGTCATATCCAAAAATAAGTTGACAATAAACAACATGCATGAAGATGTTATGAAACGTGCATGAGGCAGATAAAGAGGCGCAGTAGATATTCTTAGATACAATGCCCGGATCTGGCGACTCCAGACATTATATCTCACAAGTCTTAAGAACGCCCCTAATCTCGAGGTGAAACACGATTTCTATGTCCATTGGGATCCTAAGCGTTGGCCCTAGTCACCCGACCAGATGTTCAGGGTCCTTGGGGCGTTTGAAACGTGAACCCGGCCCAGTCTGGACAGGGCCCCAAGAGGAGAGGCCCAAGGGGAAACCTTGACGGATTTGGAAAGGTTGACTTCTTGGCGCAAATCAAGCAAGTAATTTTCCAGAAGAAGATCGAACCGGGGGGGGCTGTCCTGGAGGGTGTTAGTTGTTGCTCAGATCCCTGATGTTGATCCTTTGCTGTCATGTTGAGAATCTGCAGGTGACACTACGCTGCGAAGGAGAAGGTGCTAAGTTCGGGTTACGCAACCCGTTCTGAGGCGATATGGTGTTGCTTTTGTTATTTATCAAGCTCTCATGGTTTCACTAAGAGTCTGCAATTGATATGAGATAGACGGGTTCAGTAAGCCCGGTCGAGATCATAAATCAACCCAGATAGCTGTGTCCATTTTCGTCGATTGCCCGCATACACTAGAGCTCACCTACATACATAGTGAGGCCACTCCGATAAGATAAGGTAATTTTCAACGTTTGTGTAGAAGCCAACACAGCTTCCATTGGACTTCTATGGCTGTCGGTGGACCAAAGGATCACACCGAAGGAACAAAGAAATCGAACTGGAGCCCCTGCGGTTCCTGCGCAAGCCATCCTCCTCCGCCGAACTCAATCCTCCCGCTTGACGGCGGTAGATCATCGTAGGGCACCAGGTAAGTTTGGTAACTCGCGCCTCTCTCCAATCCAGCGACGATCGCCATGATAGGGATCAATTGAGGAGAGATCTAGAAGTAGGCGGTCTGCATTAGCTGCGTTGGGGTCGCTGGTGTTGTCAAAAATAGCAACCGGCACACAGATTTGGGAAAGGTTCTCGAGAACGAAAGAGAAGAGGGTGGGAAGACTAGTAGACGTTGTAATTGCGTCCATTCCATCCCCAGACCTGCGTGATACTGTCCTACTATTAGGAGGTGACAACCTCGACGCACGTTCCCAATAGCTGCGTGCGGCAGTCAAATCAAATCAATTGTAAACCAGTACGACACTTGTATGACCCCCTTCGCCACTCGCATCTGATCGACGAAGGCGACCCATGATTTTAGCTGTGAGAAGGATCAAAAGCAATCATGGGAGTGATAGTCATATCACTTCGTTGGTTCCAACAGCCAACATGAACGCTGGGAAACATGGAGAGCCTTTGCCCCATGATCCCTGTCCTCACGTGACCAAAAAGTATCCAAAAGTCAGGAACGCCCATGGCGGTACTTTCCCTTATTTGTCTACGATCGGAAAAGAAAATCTCACGAAATATCCATAGGCAACCAACCAACTTCTACCTTTGATTGCCAAGGATAATATACAGTAGTATGCATAGTACTGGGGGTAGGGGGAGCGGGGATATGCAGATGGATTTGGGGAAGCTGTCATTTCTCTTGGGTCTAGCCCCGGTGGGAATATCAGCCTGTCGATCGCAGATAAAAAGTGGCACTAATCTAGAAACAGCAGGATAGTTGTTCGCGCTAAGTGTAAGGCTTGTAAAAGTGAATTAATTACAGTGGGGCGATTGGCTGTGTCAGTACGCTAGTGGCAGGCTCCCATGATCTACTCCGAGTCTTTGGTCGACCAGTCTGAACGGGTCGGATACTTCAACCCGACCAATGGTTGGACCAATAAAAGTGCAGTGGCACCGGTATGTGATCATACTACCTCTAGTACTTTTCCAATCCTGTACGCCGTACGTCAAGAACCAGAGAAACAGGAAAAAGGTCGAGGCTTCAATCCATTCCATAGTCCTTCTACTGGAAGCTAATTACTAGTAGTATACAACCAGACTTCTCGACGACACGGGCACACTTCCCAATAGGTGAGAAGTTAATTTAAGTTAAAAGTGAGCTGAATCAGTGTCAGGAGTCCTAACCAAGGTACCAATATCATCTTTTTCTGCGAGCTGCCCGTTCCCAGATGGGAACTATAGAGCGAGAGTATTTGGAATAACTGACGACTGATGATGCCCGCAGAATATTTGGCCATATGCCTCCTTCTGCACACTGATTCATCTGATACCAGAAATGAGAGACACGATGGGGAAACCGGTCAACCCCGTTTGGTCCCGTTTGGAACCACTTCAAACATGGAACTGCCAGCACCCGATCCGCTGAGCCCAGCAGATTCTTGCTCATCGAGCTCTGCCCGTCGATGCCATCCCTGTGATGGCAAGCCCGGTCTGGTAAGGTTCTTACTAGCGGTGATCTACTGGTTCTACTGTGGAGAAACCAGTACGGGATCACTCTCTGTGTACATATGGCGGGTACACACAACGTGCGGGAGGAATGATTAAGCAGGGTACCGTGGTTGCATTCGCACGATTTACTTCTCCATGATGTGCTTCCGATGGGTGAAGAGGCTGCTGTCCCGTCTTCCTAATGTACATACTTTTCGGTGAATGGTCTCCCATGGAACCCCTATATCGGCCTTTGATATACCCCAGGTGAAATTCTAATCTATCCTCTCTTCTGTCATCCAGACACAGAAGAGAAAGAGAGGCAAAATTGCGATACTGCAGAGATAGGCGGTCGTTCCAGACTGGTCTGTCAGGTTTCCGACTAGTGGGGAATCTGACAAGTGTGAAAATTAGACAGCGGAGATGAACATGAAGAGCGAATGAGTCAGGGAGATTCATTTCTCGCCTTCCTGATTCGATGATGCTCCAGCGAGACCGGGGGATTCCAAATTGATCGACTTCCCGTGTCGCCATGAACATTCAATTATGATCAGATTAGTTTGTCACTCACACCTGACCGTTCCGAATTCTATCGGGGGTGATAGGTCTATATTTCCGGCCAGGCCTTTCAGCCATCAGCCATCGCTCTGAGGATTTTGCCGCTGCGTCGCGAACAGAGGCTGCTGATTCTGTATAGGGTAGCAGAAGATCTTACGACTGTAGGAAGGTAATGAATATCCTGATTCTCAAGGGCAAAAGGAGGATTCTTGTGCAACAATGCTTGGACGTTGGAGTGGCAGCGAACTCTATTGACCAACCCACCCTCCTACAGTTACTACTAGTACTCTTATTATTACTATCATTATTATTATGAGGTTTAAACCTTCGGACAGAGGGTAGTGCGTTGCCTAGTTCTAAAACGGTTCCTCCTGGCTTGGTCTCTTCATCCGCATCCGGTAAAAGAATCTGCAACAACAGGAGCCCATTTCTTCTCTTTCAACCATTGCAAGATCTCAGACACAATTTCATGGATGCTGAATTTGGCACAAAGGGAGCAAAGAGCAGGAGGGGCTATTTTGGAACCACTGGTGTATCCAGTTTGAAGACAGAGACAATATAAAGAAGGAAACTGTGTGAGAAATGTGCACATAAAAAAAGGAACCGTCCTATCCTGAGGAAGAGGGACCAACATAATAGGGTTCCCATCCAATGAGATTTCAATTAAAAATAAAGGGAAGAGAAAGTGAGAGTGTAAGAAAAAAAAATACTAAAAAAGACCGTAAAAAAAAAGAAAAAAGAACAAGAAAAAAAGCCCTCCCCAATGTATCAACCAAATCACCTGCACCCATGTCTCCTCAGGTCCCGACATACTGGAACAAAGGCCTCACCGTCACCACCTAGTGCGTAATCTGGAGATTGGGAAGTGAGAAATAATAAAAATAATATTAATAAGAAAATAAAAAAACAAAAAAAAATTCAAACTAACACGGCCGCCGCCCACAGCGTACGCTACTATTCTGCGTCTTTTTTTGTGTATTTTAATTTTTTAATAATTATATTTAATTTTGATCTACTATTTTTTTTATTATTATTATTATTATTATTCTCCTAATTTAGCTTGAGCCAGGGTTTCAGCCGCTATTCATGGCCTATGGTTAGCATCGACCACCATCCAGAACGGCTGTCTGCAACATCATGCGTCCCACTGATATCTTTCCCTTAACTTGCCGCTCTTGCCCCGTCCTATCCTTTACTTATATCGTGTGCTTTTCCTCTGCAGATCTCCATGCGATAAAGCAACCATTCAATCCACTCTTGCCCTGGTGGCTTCATTCTCCTCGCTTCACAGTTCACCCACGAACCCTCTCTCAATCACTATCGTCCTCAATTCTATTCTTCTTTTGTCTCGGATTGTTCCCCTTTTCCCCTTCCACAGCTACCCCACTGTTTAATCGTTAAAAGGGCTGCTAGTCTCACTGTCTTGTTTTCTGCTTTCAACCTCCCTGAGATCTCCATTCCTGTCCATTGAACGACTGCCAGACGCCAACGATTGCTCCCAAGTGGGGAAAACTTCCTCTACATATTCACTCAATACTTCTACCTTCGACTACGTTTTGCCGTCTTCTGAAGGAATCTGTTTCTTCGTTTCCAACAAGTTCCATCTACCCTGCTACTGATCTGGAGCACTGCTTCCAGATTTGAGCTCTACAACACCGGACAGGCCAGAAAGAGATATCTGGTTCTGTCGTAACATCCTCCTTGCAAAGTGGCTACACTGTTTTCCTGTCTTACTTCTAAGGGTGCCACCTTATTCTCCACAATCAAACACAACATAGGTGTAGCTACAGTGAGCATGGTTCGCGGTCAACTGCCCTCTCCGCCTCACTCAGACGGACATCCCACTCCTGAACCTCACCGGGAAGGTTGCGGAATCATCCACCCATTATACGCACACGACGACATACTAGGAGCCGGAATGACCATGGACCATACACAGCAGGCTGTGGTAAGAATTCGGGGCTAGAATTACCCCTTGTTGCGCCACGCTGACCTCTGCCAGGCTTTCGAATCGTCAAATCCCCCGCGGTATCTTACCAATAACGGTTACTTACAACAACCGGTAAGCGCTTTTCTTTACTGGCATTTTCCAGTAGTGTTGTAAATCCGTCTGTTCTCAGGCTAATCACTTCTCAGATGGCGACCCATAGCATTCAAGTCAACACACCACCATCTACCTCAGATGAGTGCATTGTCTCGGAGCGGACTTCATCGGCCTGGCCTCAAAGGCCTGCCAATCGCGGAAAGGGAAAGAGTGGCAGAGGTAGTGGTGGTCGTAAGCCCAAAACACTGCACGCCAGAGATGGCCCCTCGTTACCCGGCCCGTTGAGCGAGTTGACCAAGCATCTGACCCATGTCCCCATCAGGGACATGGAAAGCTGGGTACATCGACCCATTGAGGTTCGTCGCCAGGAAGTCACCAAAAAGAATGGTAAAGTTGCCAGACCTATGAATTCCTTTATGCTCTACCGCTCAGCATATACGGAGAGAACCAAGAAGTGGCTGAGCCAGAACAATCATCAAATAGTGTCAGTGGCTGTGGGCCATAGCTGGAAGATGGAGCCACCAGAGATTCGCAATAAGTATGAAGTCCTAGCGAACATCGAAAAGAAGAACCATGTCAAGGCGCATCCCGGTTACAGGTTCTCTCCAAAGAAGGACCATCGAAGAGGCGATGACCGTCGCAACAGTCGCCTGGACCACACACCTGATTCTAGTCCTGGCTTGGGACAGACCCCCCGTACGATGAGCACATCAGAAATGGGAAGCGGATGGGGCAGTCGCGACTCAACCCCTCTAGGTTTCATGGAGCATGGCCTGCCCACTGGTTATCTCAGCTCTTCCTGGCAGACAACCAACCCCGGTAGGCCAGCCCCAGGCATGCTACCTCCCTCGCCACCAGAGCCAACTCAGTACCTCCAGCAATCAATTCATCAGAGCCTCATGGGCTCCCAGGTGGAAGATGTCCGCTTCAACCGAGTTGACATGCAAGATCTCCAGTATTCTTCTTCAACGGCTTTGGCTGGCCTACCAGGTGCCACTCATCATGAACTTCTTCAGCCGCAGACCTCTGTTCCTACACCGGGAGCTGGTGCCGATGGTCAACTAGATCCACAGCTGCTTGGCTTCCAGGGCAATCCGACCAATGGCGGAGGGAGTCAACCCTATGGCAATACGCACTACCATCCCATCTGGCAAGACTCGCATGCAAGCAACAACTACGCTGCAGCCTCGTCACTACCGCCGACCACGGTACCATATGTAGCTGGCGCGGCTTTCACGCCGGGCATGCAACCGATGATGGATGGTCGCGACGCGTGGGAGTCAAGCCATGACGGGACCATTGACACTTCCGGTACAGAGTTTGAACATTGGATCAATCCTCAACCGGCTGCATTTTAGGGATAACAGAGATCTATTTCTCATGATGAATGTGATGAAAGCGACGAGCTCGACGAACTTCTTAATGGAGATGTACGTCGTCTTTGTTCTCGGATTGGCTCCCTGGTAAAATTGAACATCTTGATACTGGAGTTCCAAGGCGTACAGATCTAAATGACTTAGTGATATCCCTTCTGGAGGCGGTTTCTTTGTTTCTAATGTATCTTTTCTTAATCTCGCTGATATTGATTCCCAAGGGTGGCAAACTGTTAGTTCTGATTATGTATGATAGTTCTTTGTCAATCGTTCGCTCGCATAGAGTTGCACCGACTTTTGTGATTCAGAGATACCAATTCACCATCTAATAAATGCTATGTCATGTTTCTCATCATTACTTCCCTACGTGATCGTCCTATATTAGTTGTGACAAGCATGCTTATCTCGATAGGATCCAGATATTTGACGAGGATCTCTGAAGGCTGGTTTCAAAATGTACTCTAAGCTTTGTTTCACATGGAATCACATTATTATTTGCAGTAACGACCATTGCGTATACAGGTATATATTCTCCGCAGCAGAGATGGAAAGGGCTTGACGGTAGCTAATACTGTCTCCGTGTTCAATTGCTATGCTCCAGTCTCACATCAATTTTCTAATCACAAATAGTTTATGCTACATCCTTATTCCACCCACATTTTTAGTATTTATCGAAAGTATTTAACGACAGCAAGCTATTGAGTTGTTGTACTCCCATGGCTAGAAAAAGTCTTGGCAAAACGCGAAAGGAAGGTGCATCACGTGAACCGCGTTTTTCGGAGGTAACGCATCAAGAGGGTTGTTACTTTATACTCAACATTGATTATTTTTCATACTCAAGGCGATTAGAAAAACTTCACCAGAATCATCTAGAAGGACTGACGCATGCACTGTACATGACTGGCTCAACGCGCAACGTCCAGAATCATACAACACACATCCAACCCAACATCAAGCAACATCCCCACCACACCCAGCAACAATCTACGACGCAAACTATACGCATAACCACACCTCCCAGGAACCCCAAACGCTTATCGCAACCTGCATCATGTACGGTGAACTCGGCAACAAACTAGTCCGTCAAACCCATCCCCTAAACTTCCTCCAAACAAACCCCCCACCAACTAACAAACCAATACAGGTCCAACACGCCAAACGCACCCAATCCCTCGCCCACCTGCCTCCCTACCAAACCGAACTCGTCCGCTCCGTCGCCCGTGAAGTCCGCGATCTCGACCGTGATGTCAACCACCTCCTGACCCCCTTCTCCGGCTCCTTCAACCCCTCCCAACAGCCCGCAATCGCCTGCGCCCTCCTAGTCGACCACCTCTGCATGCGCCGCAACAAGCGCTGTCTCCTCGCGTATCACCGCGTGCGCACCGAGAAGCTCGAAGAACTGTGCTGGACGGGCATCGACGTGCTCGAGCAGCAGGCACCCTCGGCCGTGGAGGACGGCGCCCAGACTGTTGCTAGCTCACAAAGCGGGAATCATAGCTCGTTGAGTCCCGAGGAGGAAGAGTATTTTCGGCAGTATAGTGATATGTTGGCGGCGTATAAGGGGCAGTGGACTGATGTTGATCTTACGGGGTCGTTGGAGCCGCCTAAGGATTTGTTTATTGATGTTAGGGTTCTTAAGGATGCGGGAGAGATTCAAACGGAGTATGGGTATGTTCTTCTTTTTCAACCTTTCTTTCTTGGTATTTTGGAAGAAAGGGAAATTAGTGGGGTGAGATCTTGGTGCTGACTTCTTTATAGGGTTATTAACTTGACGAAGAATAGTCAGTTGTATGTGCGGCAGGGGGATGTAGAACGGTTGATTGCGCAGGGATTCTTGGAGCGGTTGAGTTGATGGTACGCTTGTGTTTTGTTGGAATGATTGATTTGCGAATGATTTCTATGTTCATGATACCCATGGAGAGTAAAAGTAGAGGAGTTAAGGCAGATTTGTGAGATTTATACTTTCAAGGCAACACAGGTTCCTACCACCTTGCTATATAGAGCCGTGTTAGATTGTGTCAGCCCATGCAGAGGCATTAAGATGGAATGCCTCCATAATCGCAGCCCTGGCAACCTCATCATCAACCGCTGCCTTCTTCCTTTCATCCATAAGCACACCCAATTCCCTAATACGCCGAGCCACCTCTGCCCACTGTACCCTCTGACCATGATTTTCGTCTTTAGCCTCAATATTAGGAGCAACCAACACATCCTTGAGCTTCCCACCCTCCTTCCGAATCACTCCATCGACAATAACAGCATCAATGTCCCTGATCGAACTATGAAGAACAATGGCCGCAACCGGATCCCGATCCGCAGCAACCAGCAGACCGGGCGAAGTAGCATCATAAATAACAATATCCGCCTTCTTGCCCACCGCCAAGCTCCCAATCTCGTTCTCCATGTTGATACATCGAGCACCGTAAATCGTCCCTAGATTGAAGACGGTCCTTACGCTGCTCCCTACATTCTTCGCCCACTTGCTGTGCGCTTCGAACTCCTCGTGTCGTCTTGCTCGTGCCCACTGCAGCACGGTCGACATTTGAGTCGGGATATACGATGTACAGACACTATGGCAGTCGATACCCAGAGATGATATTTGCTGGTACTCGGGATAGAGGCAGACCGGGTTGCCGTGACCCATCTGGAGTTCAGTGATGGGCGTGCTAGAGATCTTCACGCCTTTGTCGCGGATTAGTTGGGTGTGTTCTGGTTTGGGGTTGGTGTTGTGTGACAATAGGATGTCGGGGCCTAAGAGGCCGTGAGAATCGAGTTGATTAGCCGCTGATGGGGCATTCGGACCTATATATGCATTCAGTATAATATTTCGAGGTCGGGGAAAGCGTGATGGACGACAAAAGTGGGGTACAGCCAAGTCGAAGTACATACCTCCGAACGCAACGCCATAAACTGAATGGGAAGTGATGAGCTGCGCCCCGGCGCGACGGACTCGTCCGTATACTTCCTTCAGGACTTCCCCGGGGAGATAGAGCATATCGAAGGCGAATCCCAGCCGGACTCGTCCAGATGGACCAAGTGGGTTCATAGCCGCGAGTTGGTCAAATGTTTCCATGACCCATGGTGCGAGTGGATCTGGGGCCATTTCAAACTTGGGGCTCCATTGGGCTACCTGGGCAGTTGGGCAGTACCCGAAGATTGACCTGATTCCGGAGGAGATGGTTGCTCGGATAGCTTCTTTGGCTGCGATATGTCAGAACTTCACAATACGTGGACGATCATGTTATGCGAGTAGTGGATGGAACTTACAATGATCCGGCGTGATGTTGATATGAGCATGGTCCACTACGGTCGTTGTTCCACTGTCGATACACTCCAGCGCCCCGGCTAACTGACCCCAGAAGGTCTCGTCGGCTGATACGAAAGAACTGACGAAATTGCCAGTGGGAAAGTAATCGAAGAGGGTATGGTTTGGATGCGTGGCTTTCAGACAAGTCTGCCATACATGATGGTGGGTGTCGATGAACCCTGGTGAGACAATTTTGTCCGTGCAATCTATGATTGTTGTGTCGGACGATGGCGGTTCAATGTTTCGGGCGATCTTAGTGATTTGCGACTTCTCGATTAGAAGGTCCTCTTTCGATGCATGAACGACGTCATTCGCGTCGTGGAGGAGAAGTGTACCGTTTTTCAGGAGGATTGCGGAGGCCATGCTGCACAGGATCCTATCTTATGAAGAATAAAGTGTGTAATTATATAACTGAATACATGGTAGTGCGTCGTGATGTATAAGAATGTCATCTTGTTCGGCCTTCGGCTCTTCGGATCGACCGTGGAGGCCGTCTTACTCAGACGGCCTCCCGTCGGGGCTCGAATGTGGAGATGATAAATGCTTTCTACAAGGGCGAGACCATGAGACTCCATGTTTGTGGTACTGTGGAATATCCATTTATTTACTTTGTGAGCTTGGCTGTTTTCTGGAATGTTGTCCAGTTGCTCTTCAACGGCCGACCTCCGAGACCCACTTTGCCCTAAGCAGATAACCTCAGATGCTCAGGTGTTCAACAGATCCTTTCATAAAGAAGCCAAAGTGGGATGCTCATGCGATAGCCACTGCACATCTGCAATGATTATATGGTAATTAGCTAACATTAGGGCAGACGTCGTAGCCTATAACGAAACTACTATAACATCGGGGCAATATAATGCGCCACCTGCAGCATCATGACACCCATAACGTTCCAGTATGCTATGTATGCGTTTACTAGTACTAGTAGTACTACTACTATATGTACTCCTTCCCCTCACTCTGTTGCATTGCCAGATTAAGGATCTTGCATGGCCCCAAGCTTATAAGACACTTGGCTGGCCAGTCATCGTTCGCTCACGACTGTTTTAGTTCGTACAGACATGCCTTGAAGCCAGTCTTGAATCAAACATCAAGGGATGGCTGTCCTGAGTTGTGCCAACAACTGGCTCAATCTCGCTACATCCCATCCGTGGCCGAACGAGGATAACTAGGATTCTGCTGGCTAGAACTTGCCCGTCTGTGTCCTGGTAGATGCTTGTTCGGGCGGGCAAAGTGTCGGTTTCAGTCCATGTTTCTGATAAAAGTCGGCAGTTTTTGAATATATCGCCTCGCGCCTATCATCTCTCATGACATGCAATTGCCTCACAATTGAGCCAGTACTAGGCGCACATTAGCACTCTACTAAGGGTATGTAAACTAGTTTCACACGACGCCTGAATATCTGTAGTCTCAGCCTGATGGTGTTAAGTTGCTGGCCAATCCGTTCATATTTCATTGAACTATCTGTCTTCAAGAAGCTCTTTTGCGGCCGGCCTGTCCCTTGGATCGAGTTGCATGATATTCATGATGAGCTCCCTGTCTTCTGTTATTTCCTGCTGACAAAGGTTTCATTTCAACAATTTCACAGATGGCACATCATCCATGATAAGTGACAGGATGTCTAAGGTCTCTGGATCAGTGAGGTCAGCATATGAAAGCGGGTACGTTCCAAAATAGA